TTATTTACCAGTTCCAGGATAGGATCAACATGCGTTTTCTCATTTTAGGTGTTCTGATAAGATCCAGTATCCCAGATTTACTTTTCTTCGCCAYCTTGATTTCTTTGATAGTTGAGGCCAGTTGGTCGGAATCGACTTTAATCCCGCTAGCTGAGGCGAARCTTTTTAAGACTTCTAGTGCTTCATCGAATCTTCCTTTGGCAATGAGCCATGGAAAGGATTCTGGGAACCATCTTGGAACAGAAAGGAGAACGTCATTCAGTTGACTGGCCTTTTTTTCTTTTTCGTATTTGTTTGGGTTTTTTTCTTTTTTGTCTTTAAGACAATGCCTAGGGCACTAGATCGTATCGATAATAGTCCGTTTGCATGATGGCGTCATTTACTACAGCTACCAAAATGCTTCGCAGACTTTCTTTCCTATTCAAGTTTGTATTCCCTCATGAGAATAGTAAGACAATTGGTGCTAATTAACTGAATAAAGGAAATTGTGCAAGAGAGTCTGGTAGTGGCAGTAAATCAGTGACGCTATGATGCAAATGACCTATTCTGTCAATGATATAAGATAATTTCGTAGACGCTAGTATTATACTTATATATGTTGTTCTTTTTATTATTGTTTTTTTTTTCCTCGTCAATTTTAATGTTAGTCATGTTTGTACTGTATGTAAATCGCATGGAGAGGGAATATCAATTGGGACGAAAGTTCTGTTTTCTTCGCCAGTCGAAAAATTTGTATGTCTCAAGTTTTATAAAATACATATGTTTATATTGTGACAAATAAACTAAACTAAACTAAACTTACTTCCATAACAAAAAAAGAGGTACGCAAGGCAGAGAGATGGCTAGCATGAAATAGCGCCAATCAYGTATTCCGTAAGCCATCGACGCCAATAGAACTCCTCCAAATGCAATCGAAAGATTTGAGATGTTACCAATAGCAGTACGATGAGTGWTGTTTGATATTTCCATGGAGTACACTAATCGTATCAAAAAACAACCCGCATTGGCCAGGCCTGTACCAAAACGCATGACAGCAAAGAGAGTTAGACTGTTGGCGAAGGCGGAACCCAAACCGAACAAAAACTGTTGGATGATCAAGTGGAGATTATTGTTTACACACACGGATGGATCCTGGTCATTCAGAAAAAAGGAAGGAAGGAAGGAAGGAAGGAAGGAAGGAAGGAAGGAAAGAAAGAAAGAAGGAAGGAAGGAAGGAAGGAAGAAAGAAAGAATGAAAGAACAGCGCATTCTGTTTCGCAAACACATATTGTCAAATGTATTCTTTCCAAAACCAAAACGTATTCTCAAATCAAAAGGTATTCTCAAACGTATTCTTACCATTAGAAACAGGCTGAGGAAAAGAGTTKTTTTCCTTCCAAAGTGGTCAGATATTTTACCAAACCCAATAGCACCAACGAGAAATCCAACACTGTAAACGGACTGCGTCATGGCTCTCAAGTGAGCACGGTCACAGATAAGGTTCCACTGAAATCATAACATCCAAATTTATGATACACGGCAAGAGGTCATAAAMTATAGAAAGAGAAGACTGTCCTTGGGATATCTTCATTTCTCGAAAGTTACTTTTTAGGAGATATGTGGACCTCTTAGTAGGAATAACGTCCAGTTTTAGTAGTCTRTATAATCAGCGAATCTAGTCGCTGTGTAGCCTTATTCAATATGGATCTCAAGTCTGACTAGTCTTTCCCTTTCCTCATGTTACTTGTGTACGCGCATGTACCGTGTTCAAAAACTTCCTAGTATAAATTAGAATATTCCAACGGTGAAAACAAGTAAAGTCGTTTGCAACTGATTATGTGGTAAAAGAAGAGGACATCATCAATGGTTATGAAATAAGTGCATGACTTGACAAATCGTTTTGATATACATCGAGGTAAATAGTAAAACTAACCTCAGAGACAGCACTGGAGAATTCATCCGTCATAAACACGTAGGTACAGTTTTCACATCCACACTGGTTAATCCGACAAGAACTGCTAACATTCAGTTCATTCGAGACGCACTGATAATTCGGAGGAGCGCCGTARTAAATAAGAACGAAATGTTGAAAGGAACTCACGATACCCGTATAGAACATGAAGGCGATGAGAAAAACAGGATATCGACCAAACCCACCGATTTGACTCCATAAATCTTCTAAAACTACTTGGTGGGATCTCTTCTGATGCTCTTCGGCGCTGTTCATTTTGCTAACTAAATTCTACCGTGAGTTGAAAGCATAATATTCTTTATCTGCGGTATTGTATAGAAGCTCGAGTGAGACAATGAACTTCCACAGACTTCGTAGACTGCATTATGGTCTCCCTGGAGGAGACTATGAATTAGCACTAATGAAAACGAATTAAATACTATACAAACTGAAGAAAACAAAAAGACAAAAGAGGAACAATCTAGTCACGTAATGCTGTAGATATAGAAGAAACATTCATTCATTTATTATTTCTTTTTCTCAGAGTTTTAGTTTTATCTCTTTTTCAAATAATTCACTTTAACGTATTTTTTAGGAAGAAAAACTTTGGGGCCAGTCATTAGTTATCGCTTGGGGGAAGGGTGATCTTAGGTGATCATGAATCTCTATGATGTTCCCGCAACATAAATCCTCTGACCTTTCGCTCCTCCCAAATAATGGCCGTGTCWGTGTTTTGAAAACCTCAGGCTTCTTGGTATTTTGTATCTTGATTGTAAAGCCTGGTTCTCACTTGCGACGCAAGAAAACGCAAGCATAAACGCAGACGCAAACATAACACAAGTGAGAACAGACACGACGCAAGCGCAAGCTGACGCAAGAAAGAACAAAACCTTCCGTAGCAAACTGCAAGGATTAGCCATTCCGAGGTTGAGGAGAAAACTAGGTCGAGTTTGCAATGTCTAGTGCAATTTGGGGMTGTTTTAGAGAACGAAATAGACGCCATCTTGGAAATATGTCCCCTACAACARCCACAAAATGCAAGACGATAACAACTAGACCCAGTTTTTCCGTCAACCTCTGAACAGCTTATAGACCTCTTTCCCTTCGTGCGCAAATTGCTCCGTTCAGACCACGTGACATTCCCCTGAAAATAGTTATTCTTTGTCATGAACATTTTAAAGGGGCACTTGGATGAAAACGCCCCAATTTTTGAAAGTCCGAATAATTGAAGTATATGAGGATAATATGACTCAATTATGAKTATGTAAACCAGATTAGTGAACATTTTAGTCTGGGAGCCACTTGCTATTGAGATATTTTGGTTCAAAAGCAGAAAGAACAATAGGGTTGAGTAAATGAGATCATTAGCATTTAGATGCTGAATAAAACTGATAATTTTTATCCGCTACATTTTACTGTTAAGAAAGTATGTTGCTTGGCTACTATTGGGGCCATATAGATACGTTTAACTAAGTTTAAAGTCATTTCCAATTTTTAATCATTTTCATCCAAGTGCCCCTTTAAATATTTACTGCAATCTCGTAGCCAGAACCTGCGTTTCTTCTGGCATGCGGCGAAGAACGAGGGCTCTGGCATAAGCCTTTTTTGCGCAGTTATTATATTACTTTTAGTGTTACGATATTAATATACATTTCTTGCTTTCCTCAGAATTCTGGAATCATTCTGACACCGAGTCAGAGGTAGATTTACAACTAAGTACTGGTGCAGCGGACGCCGAAGACGATGACTTTGACTTTTACGGTTAACKTTAGGCAAGAGAATATTCTCTTGTATTATAGGCCAAAGCTACAAGCTCAAGACGGAATATTTACTGATCCGCTGACAAATCAATTCATTTTTAAACAAATCAATGGTTCATCTTCGTTATAAAATATATATCTTTAATTTCTCGTATTCTTTTTTTCAAAAGAATGAATTTATAAATTTATGTTTAATTTCAAAAGAAATATAAATAAAAAGACAATATAAATGCCTTGTTGTATTGGGCAACTCTGTCTTTTTGGCAGCCTTCTCTACTCATAATMAAATAAGGTGAGAAACAGGGGGAAATATAGAGCGTTTTCACTCACGTGAGAAGGCAGCMATAAACAATAGAAACTTTCTGCACAGTATTTGCATAAAARTAGAGTTCMATTCCCGGAGGATAGAAAATGTATTGTTTTGGTACCCCATAATGGCCGCTGTGACGTCACGTGAAAACGCTCTATAGCAAAATTCATTRAAAAGCGCTAAAACTCCTTGCATACATTGGCAAAGATTAATCACGTGTGTGTTTTTTTCCGAGC